CATAAGTAAATATAAAAGAAAAACATTCCTCTCTTAAATGAGTGCCCACTTCTTTTAAAGACTGACCTTCAGCTTTACTGATTGTCACAACAAAACATAGTTTAATGGAAAAGTAAAAACAATTAAACTCAAACAGACAGTAAGATGGTATTATATTAGTGATACTTCAGGAATAAATACAGTTTCTCCCTTTGCACATTAAATTAAAATTTTGGTTTCTATAATATCAAAGTGTCACACCATCATTACATTTGTAACTTTTGACTTATTTCATACACAATTTGTAAGAATGTTTATTGTGTACTTTCAAATAAAATTTTATATAATAAACCATAAACAATTACTGTCAAACTGAAACCTAAATAAAATTTCATTGTAACATTACCTTCTACAAGTTTTCAGTTGCCACAGTCACACAAACAACTTCCAATCTAAGTTGTGTTATACTTCAAGAACACAACAGCCAAGTGCATTACATCAATACAACTATTAAACTTCTATCTCTAATTTGTAACGTCTACTACCTTTGGTTAATCGTCATTCTGTTGTGTCTGACATGTCAGGCATGAGTCATGATGAGGGACTGGATTCTGTTGAAATTGTATTATAAATTATTGGACCATCCTTCTGTCCCATTTTGGCCAGATAATCGTGACCCTACTATATATGTCTGTGTACAAACAGTGCGCAAAGCAAAATACAGTACATTTGCTAACACAAAAAAGGAGAGCATTTGGTTGATAACTCTGCTCAACCACCAGCACTAATTCCCTCAAAATAATGGTTCCACAGTATAGCACTTTTGTTGCACACTATTCAGACTTAGATCAGAACATTATGTTTCATGTCAATCCCTACATATGAACTAAAGAAACTTATCACTGCTGATGTATTCAGTGAAAACCACTACACCTTTTCCTTGAAGCTTGGAATGAGGGGATCATCAGCAAGAACAATGAAGTTCAGTGGTTTCTGCGTAAAGAGGATTGCCGACTTGATCATAACAAGCGTCTCAGATAGGCGATCACCACATGCCACAACTGCCAGCACAATTTGACTGCAAAGAAATAGCAGATAATAGCATACACACACAATATCTTCCGCATCCCTTATCATCAGCATCCAACACAAATCAATTTGATATTCATGTCAATTTGTGAGGTATGTGAGAACATTTAAAGTGTTGTTATTGAAAATTCAAACAATCAAATCAATCAATTTCATACCACAGAGAGTGAGGATAAGACTGAGTTTGTCCAACCCCAACTGTTTGTGAACTTACCTCCCTTGCACGGAATTCTTGTGCGTATGAAGGCGACTTTCGAATTCTCCATCATAATTCTGCATATCTGATCCTTTGTTGGACTGCAACTCAGCGACAACAATAGGTTCTTTTCTGTTTTTATAATTCAAAACGTCTGTCCAAACAATTTCATGTGAGTACCTTGCTTCTGAAGAGTTCATAAATTTCGTAATAATATACAGAAATACTGCGCTAAAAATTAAAAAGATGACCACAAATCTTGAGACTGATTTCATGGTCATACATATACCACAATGAGATAATATTTATGTTACTACTTTGCATTTCAATTAATGTAATTCTGTTAGCAGACGAATCAAACCTATATCCGATGCGAGTATATGAATCACAATAACGAATTTAACAGGCATATTGTCGTGCTACTACAGATTATAATGTAACATTAAAATGAATTAATGCACATTTAATGCATATATTTGAGAATTTCCACGTACACCGCACTTCTATAAGTTTAACACAGAAATAAAGTAATTACATGTTGACAATATAGATAAAATAGTTGATATCACAGATGTAAAAATCCGTACTACGAGGCTCAATTTATAGTCGAAATAAACAAACATGAAACAATGCCAACTTTCGAGACGACTCTGATTTTTATGTATAACTTCGTCTTTCGGGCGATAGCCGCTAGGGTCGAATGGCGAATTTTACGGTTTAGGCAAACATTGCAATAACGATCTTCAAGGTGGAAGGCAATTACCGTTCATCTCCTGGCCTCCACCCACATACATTTTACGTATTCTATTATATCACCATTCATAGTACTCAGAAACATGCTACTCGTTAACCATTCACATCAAAGAATAATAATTGTAATCTTTCAATCTTTGTGAGTACCTATATGTTGTTCCCTAAGCATACCGTGCTTCCCAGATATAGTACACAAAAACCACAGTCGAGTATGTAACATTCCCTTGCATGTCAAGATTAAGGCATGCGTCTTTCTCATGACTGTTTCTGAAAGCAGTAAAGGCTGTATATTTCGGTTAGATAAATTATGTGAATAGAACAGAATTTATTTACATTTCATACATCCTTCATAGGCCCAAGTCATGTATGTAGAACATGTCAAGCACAAATACAATACTTATTTCCAATGCAAATATAAATTACAGAGTTATAACAATAATTTAGAATACAGTATCACCGTAAAAATAATTACAAAAGAAAGCAATCCCACATTTGCTTACATGTATTTAAAATAGGTAGGAATTTCTGGTTGAGGTTTTTCCTTCTATGGAATAGCAGTGAGAAGAGATGCTATTTTAGAGCTTCAATTCAAGTATAGTAATCTTATTTTGATACTTATCGAAATTATTGTTTGACACATGAATAGCTTATACTTATAAAGTAGATACCTAAGCTTGTTTGAAAAACTTTTGTCAGCTATAAATTTCAAAAAGAGCTCGCTGGCTAGGCGAAGAATATTATTATAATAAATCCTATTTTGTCACTGTTTGTATGGCGCACTGAGCATTTTAATTGAACTTAAGATAATTTAACAGGACAAAATCTATTAATGACGGACTACATAATGACGGTGGCAGTATGACCTCTAAAACGTTGGTTAACATCGACCAGACTACACAGCGCAACAACCCAGAACACCGAAATCTACATAATATTCACTGTAGTGCTCTCTGGTGAATATTCTAGACAGTTGATGAAAGATTCTCGGGTTACAAACCCCGTAAAGTGGCTGAACGGTGAATAAACCATATCTTCTCCGTTCAACGATTTGACGCGGCGAAAGCTTCATTTTTTTGAACTTCTACCGTTGTTTTCTGTCGTTGTGGTGCTTCCTGGTGAAGATTCTACACAGTTGTTTATAACTTCTTGTCTCTCTACTGCCATCTAGTAAATAATGTTATAAATACTGGTTAACACATGATATGGAAAGTTAAAACATTCGTCAATAGAGAGCAGGATATGGATGTTGTTCAGACTAAGGTTACCTGCCTCCCTTGCAATGTGGTGCCATCTGATGATCTTTCTAGGCTGCGTTCATTTGAACTTGTTGAGTCCCTCCTGCCATCTGGTGATATACATTTTAAATACTACCTAACGCAAAATAATAAAAGTGAAGACTTTCGTCCATAGAATTCAGGTCTTGTATATTATTGTGACCAAGATTTTACAGGTACCTCTGCATTGTAGTGCTATCTGGTGAACATTCCAGACAATTTCGTTTTGAGCTGCTTTGTACCTATTGCCATCTAGTGATAAACAGTATAAACACTAGCCAATGCACGATACGTTTGTCAATAGAGAGCAAACCACGGATGTTATTGTGACCAAGATTCTTCGGCCATATCTGCATTGTGGCGCTATCATGTGAACATTCGAGACAGTTTGTTTTCTATCCTGCAATCTAGCGATGAATCTTATAAATACTAGATAGCGCAATACAGAGAAAGTTAAGGCGATTATCAATACAGAGCTGAACACCGCTTCAACATGGAACACCATATACAGCTAGAGGACACTTCTATCCTCTCCTCAAAAACCGGCTATATGGATCGGTTAATCAGGGAAGCCATCGAGATCGAACTACATCCCGATAACTTTAACATGGAAGATGGACTTCACTTGAGCCGGTCCTGGAAGCCTCTTATTCACACACTTCGAGGACTCCGAGAGCGAGCAAGAGTGCGCCGCCAGAACCAACCAGACCACAACATGGCCCTTTTCAGGGCCCTGATCCATACAACCAAACTCACCTTTCTCTACTTTCTCTCCCTCTCCCGCCCACGTGCTACCATTGGTCCACTCCCATGCCTGCTCCCATTGGCTCGGGGCATGCTACACCTTTCACTTCCCGGCCTATAAACCCAGCACCTCACACCCTATTGGCACGGGGAAGGACCCCACGCTACCTTCTTCCTATAGACCCATCAGTCTTCTCGACACGGTCGGCAAGCTCTGCGAGAAGATCCTCCTAACGAGGTCAGCGAACGCGGGCTGCTGCGCGACGAGCAGTTTGGGTTTCGACCCAGACACAGCACGTCGTTGCAGCTGGCTCGCCTCGTCGAAAGGGTCAACAGAAACCTTGATGAGAAGCGGCTAACCGGCGCGGTTTTCCTGGACGTGGCCAAAGCCTTCGACACAGTCTGAGTCCAAGGCCTCCTATACAAACTGACCGTCCTAAACTTCCCGTCGTACTTGGTAAAAACCATCTCTTCCTACCTCGCTGACCGGACATTCCAGACATCCTTCCAGTCGGCCACGCCC